TGGACTTCTCTGCAGAAGGCTTCCCAAGCCTACAGGGCCCTTGGGTGGGAAGCAACCACATGTCCTGGTGTGGCTGCTTCTGCGCTTCTACGATTGGTGAAGAGAGATGATCAGAACAACTAATACAGGCAAAAAAAAAAAAAAGTAAGATTTATGGAGTTTTAACTTCTAAGGCTAAAGGTAAAAAAAAAAAATTAAAAATATATATACATTTTTGTTTTCAAAAAGCCTTTGTTGTAGAGGTAGCAACTGAGACACTTATTATGTAGGAATTATAACAACTGAGCTATATTGTATACTCAATTCAAAGTGATTTCATTGAAAATATCATCATTTTCTGGAGATGGCATATATGTTCTTTGAATAAGTGAAATGATGCAAGGCTAAAAGGTATATTCTCTTTTAACAGTGGAATGCATCTATATCAAAATTTCCACCTTTTATATATATATGTTAAAGTTTTGCTAAGGGTCTTTAAAAATATTTATTGGGAAGTACTTTAGTATTCTTCTGCCTGTGAAGACAGAAGTTTCAAATAAAAAGAACAGTCTAGAAAGAAGTTACGTCTTACACATTTAATGACCGGGGAATGAAGTCACTCCTTTCCAGATCCCACTCCTTGGGCCTAAAAGGCCTTAGAATATAAATGCATAAAAATAGCTATACATGTATAAGCATAGGCTCAATTCTCCACCCAATTCTGTCTCCCATCTTTGGCAGTAATCAAGCCCAGATGTCACAGAAGAAAACTTAAAATGCAGACATGGTATCATCTCTTCCTTAAGTCTTGCAGACCCTAATAATCAAAGACTGTATTCACACTACAAGTATGTCATTTTATATCCTGTCCCCTCATTTTCTTTTCTAATTGATCTTTTCAGGTCATAGCATACCAATGTAATATTATTTAAAGAAGTAGTAGTAGTAATATTTAAAAGGATTGAAAAGAATCACTGAGGGAGGAAAAAAGCTTAATTAGTGAGTTGTGGCAGTTACAAGAGAATTGGAAAAAACTGGAGGACCGAAAGACTTTACTGAATTTGAGACTACATCATACAGGAGAGGCACCACAAGCAGGACAGGAATTTGAATGCAGGAATAAGGCAGCCAGCCTAGAAGTGTAACTGAAAGTGGGATTTGAAAACATGCAGGAGAAGGAAAGTAGGTCCGCTTCTCTACGCATTGGACAAAGTCACAGAGCCTCACAGAAAAATTTCATCCACCACTACTCCACACATAGGATCTTCTCTGGCTCATGCAAGGAAGATGCATATATGAACATATGTATCAGTACATAAACTCTAAAATATGTATTGTAAATTTAGATGCTGAACACATAACAATCTGAAATGCAATTTTAATTTATCACAAAAAAACAGATCAAAGTAGACAGTAACTGTTCCTGAGCTGGAAATAAAAGATGTAAAAGTTTTATTTAGTACCAAGAGAGAATATGCTGTACATACAGACTTAAAGGATTTCAAGGAAATTAGGGCTATCTTTAGCATTTCTATTTTAACTCTGCATTCCAAAAATATATATTTGGCAATCATTAGAACTAGTACTCTCAACATGGGATTTACTCAAACTACTGTCAACCAGATCCAGGTCAACCAGATGTTATTAGCATTTTCAAGATTCATTTAAAGAATTTCCCTCTGTAAAAGAAAATGTAACCTTGTGAACAACAAGTGCCTGAGATAAATTATGGAGTATTTGTATTATGGGAGTAGAGACTTTTGTTTAGCGCTGTTCTCATAAAACATGTGCTTTGCTACATAAGCTACACATAAATATAAAAATGGTTTTACCAGGTAATAATAAATGTAGCTATTCTACAAGCTAGAAAGATATATATACACTGTTCTTCCATTTAACAGTATGGCACTTTGAAAGATAACTATGTAAAATAAATAATTAAAGATTGTGCTTTTCAATGCCTCAGTTTAATAAAAAGCAGTCACACAATTCTTTTAAGAATTCAAACTGTGTTTTGGTTTCTTTAAATGTTGCATGCTTTGAAACTCAAAGTAGTGATGCGTTTTTAATTGCACAATTAAAATAATTTTTCGTTGTTCTAAATGGGTTAGTTTTAAAACTACTTGCCAACTGAAAAAAAATATTTCTGCACAACAGTTATCTGATGTCACACTTCTAGACAATGACTTTATCATGTTGTCCTGTTTCAAATGTTTACTGAACACAGTCACCTTTTTGAAATTATGCACTGAAAAGAATTTATCCTTCTCTTCTGTAAACTTCAGAGACTTTCTCTCAGTAAATCTGCAGCAAAAATCCTTTTATGTATTAATAAAATTCAGCTCCAGTTCACAATACAACACTTGAGGTGTTTGAAATTAAGAATGCATTCCATATTTTTTGCCTACATTTTTATGTAGGCAAAATGGAATATAAGGGCAAACCTAACTAGGTGTGTCGTTAGAAATTTGTTCTAACTCAGATGCACTGATGGAAGAACACAGCTAAAACTTAGCCCTAGAGAAATGGATAGGATTGATAAGCAGTTCAGCCACTGAAGTTATTTCACATCATTTTCCACAACAAATTTATTCACAGAACAAAATTTATTTCACTTACTGAATGCTTTTTTCTTAATTTCCTAAAGAAACCCTTTGTGGTTTAAGAAAATATGTCCACCTATATTTTTTTTCCTGTTTCAAAGAAAAAATGAGGTAGTTCTATTTCCCTCATAAATTATGTCCGATGATTTAAGAAAAGAGAGGGTGCGAAGCACAATGGCTATTTTCCTTAATCCACAGTGGCAAAAGAAAGAAGCTAGATGAAATTTGGAATTTTCAGTAGTTCTGATATGAAGCAACACATTAGGAATTGTAAATCCAGCTCAAAAAAAAAAAAAAGTATCAGAAACTCCCCCATGCACTGCTTTAGAAATGCGTTGTGTTTCTTGGCATCTGTTGCAACTGTGTGAAGTTATCAATGCCTGTCCTGAAGCTGTAGGTTTGTTGCAAGGAACACAGAGGGACAGAAACAAAAGATTCATTATAAAACCATATTATTTTGGTCATTTTCTTATATGATTATTCCTATTTTGGTGGTTAAAACTTCACATACTCTTAAACAAGCTCTTCACTATTTCAAACCGTGTCTCCAAAAGCCTGTCATGCGTAATTATGCGTATGCCTATACGCATAATTCTTTGCTTTGAATGTTCAGATTGGTCTTTCAGAACAAACCATTTACTATCCATTGGGTACAAGTTTATTAAAAAGATGCCCACTAACAAGTTAATAGTAATTATTTATCTAATGATTGCTTAGATATCTATCACTTATCTTTTTATATAGTCAGGTCTCCAGAACTGAAACTACACTTTATTTTGCAGTAATTAGTCACACTTTATTTTGCAGTAATTTTGCAGCATACACACTGAGTGACCAACCCTCACTTGAGCCTCTTTGTAATGTTAAAATACAAAGTGAATGAAAAACAGCAAGCTAGTAAGAGGTCTCTAGGGAACACTGTTCCTGTTTAAATGCATAAGAAAGTAACAGCTTCATGAAAATTGGTACTAATCTAATAATGTGATGAAACTAATTCTACACTATATTTCTTAATGGAGACTTTTTCCTCTCTTCTAACCTTGTTTGCACAGAAAACTTTTTGCCTGTCTATTAAATTTACTGAAACTGGCCAACAGGTTCAAAAGTTACTAGCTGGATTACTGACAGAGAGACACAGCAGGATTTCCTTAGGAAATGAGGCTAATAAGATTGTTTAAAAATATCCAAAGTGGATTATGTCTTATTTTCAGTTTTCATGCTATGAAATTAAATAAAATGTTTACAGAACTGAGCCTTTTTCACACTTTATGTTTTTACTTTTTATTCTCATTTCATAGGAATAGTTTCAATTTCCCTCCTGAGTTTATTTATTCTAAAATTGTCAACTTGCAATTTCCTAGTTGTACTAAACCTTTAAAAATTACATTTAACATTTATGTTGCTTACTTTCCTATATAAATAGATCAAACATTAAAATTCAGTTTCAATATATATATTTCCATTTATATTGTTTTACTATAAAGGTTCCACAGGCAAAATTTATTTTGGGCTGGAATAGCTGATTTTCCTGTCATAAAATGCTAAAACACAGTTCAATATATGCTGACTTATGCTATTTTGGATATAAGATTCATTTTCAGGTAGCCTTTAATCATCGGGATATTTACTAAAATGTGGAAAAAATAACTGGCTTCAGCCATGTTTCTATTGTTATTTGTAGTTCAACACATACTGTTCTTGTCAATGTCTTTTGTTACAACCTTAATTACCTAATGGACAGCATTAGGTTCTCAAACATGCCAAACACTTCAGAATGTTTTAATTAAATTGAGTACAGGGGCACTTCCTTTTTGCCTACTCTGTTGTGATTTAGCCAAAATACACATTTAATACCGTCAGGTTTCCATCATAAATCATTTCCTTTAACATTGCAATTTTATTTGTACTGTTCTTTGAACTTCCTTTAAATTCTTCAAATGTTTTTAGTATGCTTTTTTTTTTTTTTTACCAGAACTAAACTTGATTTTCTGAGTATGATCTTGTCAGCACAAGAAAGAAAATTATTCTTTATTTTTCATTAATATTGCAATATCTGAGACTCAATACCATTTTAAATTAGTCACAGCTCTGCCTTTTCATTGTAATTAATTTCTCAGTGCTCCTCAGTCTTAAGAATTTTTTTTACTACTATCTCTAGAAGAGTCTTGTGTAGAATCCATTTGAATTTTCACTGCTTTTTCTTCTCTTCCGGCCTTGTTTGCACAGATTTTTTTTTTGCCTGTCTATTAAATTTACTGAAACAAGCCAACAGGTTCAAAAGTTGCTAGCTGGATTACTGAGACACATGTTTTCAAAATATGTTGTCTAGGTGATTAGTCTGTTTCTGTCCTCTCACTTTTTTTTTTTTTTTTTTGACAGATGTAAGCAGATGAGAAGGGAATCATGACTGCTACTTACCAAGAGTTCGGAAAGGTCTTTGGTTTGGGGTATGGGAAAAGAAACCAGGTTTCAAAGCGTTTGTGATCACAATGTCAAAATACTCTTCAAAATCGTTCCTAGAAATAAAAGGAAATTAAATTAGCTAAGATGACACTAAATATACTTAAGTATACAAACATACTTATATACTTATAAAAAGACTTAAGAAAATAACAACAACAACAAAAAATAAATAAGGAATCTTCTGACACTTTTTTTTTTTTCTGATGTTTGTTCAGTGTCACTGCTGCTCTTCTGTACTGATGTAGTTAAAACTGAAAAGACAGCTGGACTGAGAACCCACAATACTGTACCTTCAGGATTGTTAATTATTTGTAAAAAGAAGTTTCTTGGACCAGGGAGTTTTGAAATATCAGGACAAAATGTAACAGATGATATAGTTTGATCTCAGGTGACAGCATAACTACAGATATACGGAAGGGTGTAAATAAGGGGTTTTCTTTATAAAACATGAATACATGAAGTCATGTGATTTACTTACAAAGGGAATTTCTTAGAAATATATTCTTCTAAATCTGGATTTAGGGGTTCCATATACTACAAAAAATCCTAATTACACCATTTCTGTCCTCTCTTTCAATTTCCAGCAGAGTGTCCTACAGTTTTTTAACCACTGATCTCTGATTGTGAGAGGGAAACAGTTTTATTTTTTTTTTTTAACTGAAAGGAGTTATCTGTAATGGAAAGGATGCCTAGACTGAAAATTTCACATTTCTCTTCTGTTGAACTCTGAACTTTTGAGACTGTGACAACCAGAGCTAATTCTTGCAGGACCTGCTTGGAGTGGTGTGCTGGGCCCAAGGTGATTTTGGCCTCACCCTTGTTTCTAAACACTTTGTTTAATGGAGTATTTTCTCTGATATGGCTTCCATCTTGCATCTGTGGAGCAATCCAGGCCTTCTTGTTGATTTGCCTTATTAAAATATTTCCCCAGTTGAAACTGCGAAGAATTGAAGTTTCTCGACGCTAATCCTTACTCTCTCCCGGTTTGAGCAGAAAGCTCTTAAAAGCTCCACATCTCAACTCTGAGAAACACTAAGGCCACCAGGGATCAAAGAGCATTGCTTCTGTCCATCTGGGAAAAGGGGACACTTTTTTTTCTGCCTTCTTTCTTCTCCTTCCCTCACTCTGGGGAGCCTGTGGGAAGAAGTTAAAGCTTCTTTTGGCCCCTCACAGAAAAGTTCAGTGCTCATATAAAAGCTTTATCCTGGGTATAGAGAGGTCAGAACAACTAAAGATACCACATACAGAAGAACATTTAATCGGGTATTTGTATTTGTTTTATAAACCCATAAAGCTTTATGGCTCATTCAGTACTCGTGAACTTTCTACCTAACAGCCTTTAATAGCAGTCATATTGTTCTGAGAAGATATGTCTGCATATCTTCATATGTCAAGCAATGAAGTCTGATTTTCTATAGCTTTGTGTAGTATACTTAATTTCATGCTATCTATCCTACCATGAGATGAACTATTTCTTGAGGTGCCAGTTATTCCTATTCTAGGAAAGGTCTTCTTTATTCTAAGACCTCATTTATTATATCATCCATCTGGGAGCTATAGCAAGAAATAATAAAAATAATGCTTACCAGCAGGTTTTGAAGTTACTAAAATATAAAATCAGGCAAATGTTGCTTAAAGCGTGATTATTTTTTCAATATTGGAAAACGTAAACATTTCCAGTTTGTGACATGTATTTTACTTTAGTAGAAATGTTTCTTTGCTTGGGTGACTGTATTATCTATAACATCTAAAAAATGATGAATACTCTTGCAAGGAACACAGAATTCACAGATGGCAAGTTCAGGATAAAAAGAAGCACTAAAATACTATCAACAATTGAAGAAGCTTATTGGAAAAAAAAAATCTAGCTAACCGTGTCATTTTCAAATAATCTACAATTTTCCATGAGACTGAGATAACTAAAATCAAGAATGGTCTCCCTATGAGGCTACCTATGAATTTTTATTTTATTCCCTAAATTACATTTCAGCCTTAAAATGTCTTTATATTTCCTTCCTCCAGTGAAATTTTAGTGTTGTTTAATTTTCTTTCTTTTAAAGATAAAGAGCAACAAATTATTTGGAGATTTGGAGTATTCCAGAAGCTTAACAAGCAGACATAGCTTTTGTGCTTAAGTATCAACAGAAGCTTTTAATTCATAACATTTGGCACAAATGACATTTCAACAGGTAAATAAAGCTTGAACTTTCAAAATAAAGCCAACATTTCAGAAGTACGATGAAGACTTGTGGGAACAATAACTAGTTCTTTGTGTAGAACATTTGAAACAGAAATTAGTCTTTCACAAGATTTGGTTAACTTTTTCTTGATTTGTTGAAGAAAAAATGTTTTGTGGGGAGAGATGTTATCTGTGGCTGTTTTTGAATCTTGTTAAATTTCATGTGCAAAGCTACTGATTTTATGAGTACCTACACCTGTTTTTACATTACTATGTAACATTATTCATGACAAAATTTGTTCCAGTTACTGTTTGTTATTGGAATGGTGGCCTGTGGTTACAGTAGTAGTCAAAGAGTAGGATGTATCTCACATAACTCACATAAAGCTATCTAAAAGTAGCATGCTGAATTCACTGCTAATGGTCAATACAGAGCCAATGGGGAACTATCCACACCCTTAGAAGGAAATTCATTCTATTTATTTCAGACATTATTTTATGGTACAGAATGAATTGTTAAGGGTGATGCCCAATGTTTTCTCTCCGCTAACCACAGAGGGTGTCAAAATCCCCAGCTTTAAAAATTCATAGCTTTTAAATGGCTAATACTGATGAAAAGGTGAAATGACATGCTGCTTCAGTGCCTATGAATAGACTTAGCTTCAGGTGTGCTCCTGATAACACTGTAACATTCAACTACGTTGACAAATGATTTTATTGTAGGTAAGCCTGAAAAGTCACACCATGATATTGCTACTTGCATGAATGAACTTGTACTTGCTTCAGTAGGCTTATATACCTTATACATGGTTCCCAGCAGTATGTGTATGATCTGGCTGGAAAACAGTTCTTATTTTATCTCAAAACCAGATTTTCTCCTACACTTCCTGTTCCTTACCAAAATGACTTTCAGTTTAAGGACAACTTGGTCAGATGAAAGCAACAGGGATACTTTGCTCTTTAAACAGTAAATGATACACTTAAGCAAGTATTTCCCACTGCTGATTTTATGTGGACAGCAATTTCTTAGCCAAGGGGGAACTTTTTCAAGAAACTGCCAAAAAGTTAACAGTTCCGAGATAGGAAAGAGGTTGAAAATTCACATCCATCTCCACTTTTCATGTTTATCTTTATTTATTTATTTATTTATTTATTTATTGGAGGTAATATTATAATATTGATTAATTTAAAAGAAGTAGGGAAAGAAATGTAATAAAGGAGTACATGGAAGAAATTCATAAGGGTTGCTGTAAAAAATAAAATGCAGTTACTCTGGCAAAATTAAGGCTGAGGGAATAGATAACAGACATGAATCTAGGATATATTCCAGTATCAGAAAAAACAGCAAGGGACAGTAGATTCTCATCATTTGATACAAGAGGCATTGAATAAACAACAAGAATAGAAAGTTCAGAATTATTTTCAGTAAAAAAAAAAAACACAACAGTAAGGTTTAATGGACAGCGGAGTACTCAGTCCTCCAGAAGATGTGTTTTGGAAGCTATTTTGCATGAGTCACTGAAAAATGTGATGGTAGTAAACACTGTAGAATATCTTACACTCATGAGGAAGGAGACAAGGGATCTCGTATTTTTTTAGCGGAACATCTCTTCTGCCTTTTGAAAGGCAAGCAATCCTCTCTGCTACCTTTCTTACTGCCTACTAACAGAATCTCTACAGATGCCTTAAAACTTGTGAAATATAATTCACCAAGGAAAATAAATCCAAAATCATTACATGTAGCCAATGATTTTAGTTTGGTATCAACTTTTCATTCAGAAACACACTAGACAGATCTACATTAAAAAGCTAATTCACAAACATCTTACTTAACAGGAGAATTACTTTCTGAAAGCAAGTAGATTTCACACGCAAATGAGCATATAAAATGTACATGCAATGCATTAAGAACTGACACAGTTGATACTCCATTTAGCATTTAGCCCAGACAGTACAAAAGAGAGGTGATACTGGTGGGACTGGTTCTGGGAGGTTGCTCTGATTTTCACCTTACCTGAGGTTTTCTTACTGTGCTGCTGTATTCACTCTGCTGTTCTCCTGCATATCCGGAGAGCCAAGGTTGGCTCACATTGCACTACTTTGTTCCTTTGATTCACTTATTGAATAGTCTCACCATGTCACCCACCTAGCTATTAGCATCGCTGATTAATTCCTTTCTAGGGGTGTAAGTGGTAGTTCTGGCTGCATTTCACTGAATTCTGCTTGACCAGTCATGTTCTTAAAATTACAGACGAAAAGTAATTGTTGTCATCAGCAACTGCAAGTCTCAACCAACTGCAAAGTTTTATCTCTTCTGCTGTTATCTGCAAATACACATTCCTAATGAACAAACATCACGTGGAAGGCATTGTTAGGAAGAAGTATTTGTAAGGTTTTCTGTGCACATTTGATGCAAGGAACTGAAGTATTGCTACTACTTAAGCTCATCACTGGAGAGGCACAGACAATGTAGCAAAAATGTATGATAAAACTGGGATTCAGATGATGTCCTCAGTTATATGTTGGCCTGAAAGATATTCCCTGACATCTTTAAACCCATTATGATGCCCAGAAAAGATGTAGGATGTAAGCATGCTGTGGGTCGGATACAGCTCACAGACTCAGAAATGAACTGAGGTTTGTACTGAGTAGCTGTTACACTCTGTCTAGAGACAGACCCAACAGAAACCTCATATCCAAGTGATTTACAACACATAAACAAAGTCAAATTAACTTCTCTATATCTCAACCTTATCTCCAGTTGATGTCTGTTTAATATAATTTGAAAAGGACATTTCACTTACCCAAGAATATATTCACACAGGAGCCTGCAATAGTCACTGTGAGAACTGGTAATTAATAGCAGAATCTTCCCAGCACTCTTCAGTTGTTTTAGCCACTTTTTTACAGACTCGGGACATCTTTGTAAGTATTTGTCTGGATGATTTTTCACTTCTGGGAAATACATCCCACATTCTTCTAAAAAATAGAACAAAATTATGCATTAACCAATCCTGCTTATAAACCACTTAATCCACACAACAAATATCCTTTTATGTGCAAACAATAGGATTTAAAAAGGCAAAGCAAAGTTTAAAAATTTCCCTTGGTTGTAACTCAATATAAACAAAGAAACCAAAAGGATATGTTTTAGCAGAAATAAGTTGGTAATGGCTTTTCTGTTATGGAATTTTCACAGTTATTTTATTTGATGTTCTTTTACTTACAAGAGTAAATAATGCCTAAGTTTCAGGTGGTATCTTACACAACAAATAATGACTTTCTGTTGCCTTTGCTCAAATTTTGGATAGCAAGTTTGTGATTTTAAAATTAGTTTAATGTTTGTTCAGAAAATTGTAGGGATACAAAATCCCCAAGAACATCTGTTCAGTTTCTTATGCTTTATTTTAGCATTGTCTGATGAATAACATGCATGTTAATATTCTTGCAGTTTTCACAACTAGCATTTTTTCTGCAAAAGGCTGATAAAACAAGCTGGCAAAACTCACAGGTATGTGGAATACTAGGAACAGATGCAAAGAAAAAAAATTGATACATTTTCCAACATCAGTAATGCTCTTTTTGCTAAACATAGCAGAAACAGAATTTTGCAAATACATTCATTAATATCATGTCAAATAAAGATGTACCTTGGTATAACCCATACCTGCTCTACCAAGTTGTCAAATTAACATTAAAGTTACCTTTTTTTTTGCATCATTCCTACGACTTAAGACTACGTATTTCCTCTGTGCTCAAACTTTCTGTAACCAAAACTGTCAAGCTAGTTAAAGGTCTAAAAAGAAACACAGTAATTATATAGATAGAAATGATACCAAGTGTGTGGCTTTCAGTCTGTATGTGCTATAGTGTAATAAACATCACCAACACAAGATTATTTTTTTTCTAGCATTTGTTCTATATGCAACTGTCTGTGGTCAACTTTGCTGAACGATTTAATAAATCCCAGACATTACTTAGCCTTCTGGTATGTGAGTAATGCTATTCTCAAGTTTGAAAAAATAAGATTTAAACCACTTGAACTTCAACTATTTAATGAAAGAGAGAACACGTATGGTTGAAACAGTAGTATCAAAGAGAGACTGAAAGAAATATACCAAGTTTTAAACGTAATACTATTTCATGAGTTACACATTCAAACATCTAAAGATAGCAGGAAAAATGTCTCCCAGAAGAAGTTTTAAATTGGCTGTTATCACTACAGCTAGACAGGAGGTAAAAATGTCTTATTCTGTACTGTGACTTGACAGATTCCCTTCCAAAAGTTGCAGAGTAGACTGCTAAATCAGAGGAAAATCCCTCAACCAAAATCTATCAACTTCTAGCCAGGTCACTTTTTCAGTTCTTCATAGTATTTACGTCAGGACATGTAACAGACTTTACTGGGGGATATAAGCATGCCTGCACCTAGTATTACGGGATGCCATGACATTTATCTTGACAGCTAGCCAAGAACAAATATTTTATTTTATTTTATTTTATTTTATTTTATTTTATTTTATTTTATTTTATTTTATTTTATTTTATATTAAACAAAGTAGATTTACCAAGGAAAGTTTCCTGTGGTGTTTCTTGCCCCTCTTTCCTGGAATGTGAATACTGTTTGGGGTGAGCAATATAGTTTTTAATAGCATAAAATGCATTTTTTTCCCCAGAATTATCATTAGCAATTGTATTTAATGTGCTATGTAATGACAATTTTTCTTCTTTCTCTCTTTTTTTTGTGGAATATGCACATTACACAAGCATGAATGGGGACACACACTAAGTAGGTTTGACTTTGGCTCTCACAGGCTCAAACATTTGAAGAAAGATGTTAACATTCATTTATATATGTAGCTATCTATCATTATTTTTCCCCTAATGTGAAAAAGATATGAACTTTACTGCTGGACACACTTTGTCGTTTTTTTCCTTATCAAACACTTCACACTCTGAGTGGACTCTTCTTTGATGTGTATCTAATTTACAGACTTTGAGTAAATTTAAACAACACTATGTTCTTTCTCCATGCTCTGTGAAGTATCTGCTGCCTGATAAATCTGTGATTTTTTTTTTTTTTGTTACATCTGAAGTGTAAAAGGTCAACAACTTTGGATTCAACATATGAGGTGAAAGAGAGTCTTATTCTAGTTTTCTATCTAGATCCTTAAGCCCAATTGTTAATTGCAGGCAGACAATGAATCAGTTCTTGACATGGGCATTTGAAGTTTGCTTCTGGCTGTTTGCTGTATGAGGCAGAGATACTTTGGAAGAACCCTCATTAAAGCACACTGTACTGTAATTAGGTCGACTTGGGTCAGGAAAATAGTTTTAACTTAATTCCTAACATACTATTGAGTCTGGTGAATACAGTTTGGTTGAGTATAGACTTACAATCTTTCACCAAAGCTTGCAAGATTTTACTGAAATCCAGATGGAATCAAAGCTGAAAATCTTGCTCATTATCTAATACCAAGAGCTGTTGTTGAGGAGGAGGACAACAGAGCCACAGGCACCTTGTTGCCAAAAATAGTTGTGAACGTTTAAGCAAGATAGAGAAAGAGCATCATGTTAAGCCCTCACAGTCAAATGGAATGATTTGACAGTGAGAAATGAAGCATTTTTTCCTAAGGAAATGTTACCACTATGCCATACGTTGTACTTTACTTTTTGTAAGGCATAATCAAACCATAAAATTATTAAGAAAACTCTACTGAACAAAAAGTTAGTAAGCAATCAAAAAAGAAGTAATTTTACTGGAGCCAACACAGGAGAGGAGAAAGTAAGTTAGTGCTAATGAGTGTGGTTTTGTGCATACAAACATACAACTCTCATTCTGAAAAGCAGAAAAGTAATTCTTCAGACAAGCACCATTCTTAAGAAATAAGTCATGTCTCTAGCCTGCAGTAATTCTTGTAGACCATCCAAGTTTCAAAATACTCTTTAAAAATGGAACTATGAGCACCCTTTAGAGAAGCTTTGGTGGCCCTCAAATTCACCGTATCAAAACAGGGGACTTACGGTGACCACCAGATCTACAATTGACCACTCGCTATCTGCAAAGTGTCCAAAATAAAATCTTTCTTTTTATCTATTTTATGAATACCGCTTACTATGTAGTTATATGGATATTGACATGTATTAATACCTGCTCACAAATCAGTGACAGCAAAACAACAATAACAAAACAAATGTCCCAGCTTTTACCTCAAGTGTTTCTATATAATTTTCAGATATGGTACATATACCAAAGTAATCTCTGGCTCTTTGGCTGTATAAACACTTTCTTCAACTGTAGAAAACAAAATAAAACAAAAAAAAACCACCATAACAAAAATGGAATCAAGAAGAACGTAATAATCAACATCACAACTGATATATTCATCTGACTGGGCTTTTTAAATAAAACTTAATCTAATGATGTGGAGCAGGAAGAAAATGCCTATGCATTTTATGTACTACTTTGTAATTTATAGATGTCTGCTCTGTGTTGCCATGGAACAAATGCAGTTTTTCAATTTGCAAGCTTGTTGTTAAACAACTTTAAGTCTATTTGAATTCTCTGAAATACAGCTTCGGATTACAAATTAGCAATTAACCTCTGCAGAGATTTATAATCATCTTCCAAATATGCTTTCAAAAATACTAATTGTCTTTGCAGTCCATTAAATATATTTTCAGAAAATATATTTCACTTTTAAGCAGGAGACAGAAATATAAACAATTAAAGTTGTCTAGAACTGCCACATATTAAAACACTGCCAGAAATTGCTTCAGAGCTTCTTATCAGATCTACTTCATGTCATGTTTTCAACGTAATATAACTTCCTCTATGTATACTGCCATAAGATCTTTTAGTATCTAGTTTGAGGTTTGCTTTTCTTGTCTAATCTGACAGTGTTGATTGATCAAGATGTTCTTTGTACCTTCTTGCCATATAGCTTAACTGTGTGTAATACAGCTGCGATAATAAGCGTGACAGGAATTGTTTACAGCTGGAAATGCAACCCCCAGACCAAACTCAGAAAGAGCTTGTGCAGTTGTTGCAGGGACAAGCAGAAGTCCTCCAGCACAGCACAGACAATTAATGCACTCTTTAATTCAACTGCCTTTCTCTAATACAGTCATAAAATTACATTACTGAAGCCTACAGTTTGATGTTCCAATATAATACATCTATTTGGGGAAACACAGCTTTTGATTTCACTTGTGCTCTTTATTACACCACTTCTCTTTGGCGGGGTCAGTTTACACCCCACTGGCTCTTGACTCCTTTGGGCTCCATGTCTGGGACAATGCAGTTTTCATCTCTTAACTGTTATTTGGTTTATAAAAGAGACAAATGTTTAAGAAGTACATTTCTGGTAAAGTTTCATTCCAGAACTAAAACACAGAAGCACAGTGTGTTTTGGGGGATTGTCACTGCTTCTAAGGGGCAGCTATTTGATTGAATATAAAAGAATTTAACCACTATTTATATGATTTAGCTAAGCAGAGAGGTATGAGGCTGAAAAAATCCCTAGAATTCAGCCAAGAAAAATAAACTTTCAGCTGCCAATTTGTAGCTTGTATTTAGTGGCTTTTATAACTAACCTTCTTTTACAATGTAAGTAGTATTTGGGAATGTGACTTTTTTCTCTTTTAAATTCAAGGGCAATTTGATAGCTTAGCTATCAATATCCATAGTCAGATTCTCTGCAACTCTGATGTGAGTACCAGCTTACACCTCTTTCCTAACTATAGTCTGAATGCAGCCTTGTATGTAACAGTTGTTTATTTGATAAACAGAGTGGAGTTGAAATAAAATCTTCAATAAATGATGATGCAGACAACTATATTAACTGTATACTGCCTTCCAGTGTGTTGTATATTGTTTTTCCAGTGTTTTTAGAGTGAGCAGAAATACACTTCTTTGACTATTGCTGTTGGCTTTTTTTCTTCTCTAAATAAACATTTCCAACAACTAACATGAGGTT